CCTTGATTAGTTTCCATCCATTGCTTCTTGTCCTGCCTTCAGGCACTTTGGACAATAGCTTGACTCCCTCTTCCTTGTGGCAGCCCCTGAGATATTGGAACACTGCTATCATGTCCCCCCTCATCCTTCTCTTCATTAAACTAGATATACCCAATTCCAGCAGCCGTTCCTTATATGGTTTAGCTTCCAGTCCCCTAATCATCTTTGTTGCTCTTCTCTGTACTCTTTCTAGAGTCTCAACATCTTTTTTTACATCATGGTGACCAAAACTGGATGCAGTATTCCAAGTGGCCTTACCAAGGCATTGTAAAGTGATATTAACACTTCATGTGATCTTGATTCTATCCCTCTATTAATGCAGCCTAGTACTGTGTTGGCCTTTTTGGCAGCTACAGCACACTGCTGGCTCATATTTAAATGATTGTTCACTAGGACTCCGAGGTCCCTCTCACAGTTACTACTATTGAGCAAGGTACCCCCTATACTATACCTGTGCATTTGGTTTTTCTTGCCTAAATGTGGAACCTTACTTTTTTCACCATTGAATTTCATTTTGTTAGATAGTGCCCAGTGTTCAAGTCTGTCCAGATCCTTCTGTATCTTAAGCCTGTCTTCTGGAGTGTTGGCTATTCCTATTGGTGTCGTCTGCAAATTTGATGAGTTCCCTAACTATCCCCTCATCCAAATTGTTGATGAAGAGCACTGGGCCTAGAACAGAGCCCTAGGGCACCCCACTACACACTTCCCTCCATGTAGATGTGGTTCCATTGAGGACCACACGATGAGTACGGCCAGTCAGCCAGCTACGGATCCATCTGGTGGTGATGCTGTCTATCCCACATTTTTCTATCTTGTCAAGTAGTAGATTGTGATCTACTTTATCAAATGCCTTACTGAAGTCCAAGTAAATTATATCCACAGCATTCCTCTGATCCACTAATTTTGTCACTTGGTCAAAAAATGCAATAAGATTTGTCTGGCAGTAAATCTTCCCTATTGGTTCTTGTCCTACCCTTAGGTGCTATAGAGAATAAATATATACTATATAATAAATCAACACCCAGTGACACCTTTTTAAGTATTGGAAAGCTGCTATCATATGTCCCTTTAGACTTCTTTTCTTTATTTGAAAATCTCCTGTCCCTTTAACTGTTCTTCATTGGATTTAGCCTTTGAACACTTCACTTTTCTCTGAATTTTCAAGTTATTCATTATTTATCCTTCTTGTATTATATTGATCATAACAGGATACAGAATACCAAATGTGGCCTGACAAGCTTAGCATAAAGTGGAACTATTATTTCCAATGATCTTTATCTCTGTTGATGCAGCCCAGGATTGCTTTGGCTCCTTTGCTTAATTTATGGTATACCAGGCTACCCAGAAACCTCCTCATAAGTACTATTGCTGAGCCAGGTTCTATCTATGTTGTAAATTTGGTTTTTCCTACCAAAGTTCAGACTCTTACATATCTCACCACTGAATATAGTGTGGATATTCAACTCTACCAAGATTCATTGGAATTCTGAGCCTATCTTCTGAGGTGTCAGCTATTCTCTCACCTTTATATCATTTGAAATTTGATAAGCATCCCTTCTGCCTCCTCATCTAAGTCTAGCTGTTAAATTTGTAGTTTCCCAATCCCATCTTCCCACTTTTTACAAGATTAGAATAATCCATGCTAATGTTTCTGGAACTTCCCCTCTATTTCAGGAGTTCAAAGATAACATCTGCTTGTTCAGCACCCATGTGGTTCCAGAGATTTGAATTCACCCAAAATAAAATAACTTTCATTACATATTTTAATTTGCATTTCTCTTCTGTGGCTTTTGACCAACTGACCATTTTTTCCTTTTGTCAAAAGATAGATGCAAACTAGGAATTAAACAGTTTAGCCTTCTCCATGTTTCAAATCACCATCTTGCCAATTCCAACCAACAGATCAACCCATTTCTTGACTTTCCTCATGTTCCACACACATCCAATGCTTTTTTATTACTTTTGATGTTCATAACAAGCCTTAGTTCATTCTAAGCCTTAGAGTTCCTTATAGATTCAGGCTATTTCCTGCTTTCATTTTTTTGTTTCTTAGTTAATCAGAGACTTTTTATGCAACTAATCCAATTTCAACAGGTGACTCCCATTTGTTTTTCTCTTTGGTATTATTTGGGCCTTAATTATCACATTTTTCAGAAATTCCTAATCTCGTTTTTCCCTTCAAGATTTCACCTATGGTATGCTTCCTACTTTGTCCCTTAGTTTATTGAAATCATCTTTTTCAAATCTAGAGCATGAATCTGACTCCCTTCATCCCTCCCTCCTGCAGTCTGGTCAATTCTAGAGTCATTTTCTCTCAAGGTTCCACTTCTTCAATTATTTCTTCTTGGTTATTGAATATTAGGTTCAGTATAGCTGATCTCCTAATTCTCCCCTCCACTTTTGAAAATAAAGTTGCTTGTAAGACTCTGAAAGATTCTGCAGCTTGAAATTTGTATGATACTTATCTTGAACTGGTTTTTTAAAAAACAGATGCTACATTTTCAAAGAAAACAATGAAATTGATGTTTCTTTAATGCAGACTGAATTGGCTGAAACACACATTGTAGGTCTCACTCCAATGAGTCACTAAAATTAAAAAGCTTTCTCCAGTGTGGGAGAGAAACTGAGAAAAGAAAGTTTGCCTATGGGTTATATTCTTTTAAAAAATTGCCAAAATCTATTTTAAAAAGTTGTGTAAACAAACTCACTTCCAATATCAGTTAGCCAAAGGAAGTCATCTGCATTTATAAACAGTATTATAAAAAGTGTTTCCCAACGTGTCTCTCTCCAGATGTGGTTGATTTCAGTTCTCATCATTTCCACCCAGCATGTACACATATACTATTAGCTGGGAATGATGGCAGTTGAAATGCAACATGTGTGGATGGTACAAAGTTTGGGAAGTTTAAACTATATTTATATTAAAAAATGCTTGAAAGTCCATATTTTTAACTCCAATGAATTAACACCACATTTGGTGAACCAGTTCTAAATATTCTGCATATTCACATCAATTGTGTTTCTTTCAGCCAATCTTCCAATTGCTGGTGGCAATCAATTATGCACTCAAGTTCATTAATTGTCTGAGTGAAAACATTAGTAATTCTGGGCAGGAGAGGGGAGGAATATCATTTGCAACATTTTCATCAATAACTTTCACTGACTTCAAAGGAACAGGATGGTCTTTATTCCTATAAATCAACAAAATGTACTTTTTATTCTATCAGAAACACTGTTTTCTCAGGAAGCTTCTCTTATTTATTTTGTGTATATTCAGCTTTTCCTTCATGATTACTGCCTTGTTGTGGCAAAGGGGCTTGCGTAACTCAATGAAGCTATGAACTATGCCATGCAGGACCACCCAAGATGGACAGGTCATAACACAGAGTTCTGACAAAATGTGATCCACTGGATAAGGAAATGGCAATCCACTCCAGTATCTTTGCCATGAAAACCTCATGGACAGTACCAAAAGGCAAAAAGATATGACGCTGGAAGATGAGCCCCTCAGGTAGGAAGGTGTCCAATATGCTACTGGGGATGAGCAGAGGGCTAGTAATAGTAGCACCAGAAAGAGTGAAGCGACTGGGCCAAAGCTGAAAGGACGTTCAGCTGTGGATGCATCTGGTAGTGAAAGGAAAGTTCGATGCTGTAAAGATCTTTGCTCCATAGGAACCTGGAATGTAAGATCCATGAAGGAATGACTCAGCGGAGAAGAGCCTAATGCTTGGAAAGATTGAGGGCAATAGAAGAATGAGACGACAGAGAATGAGGTGGCTGGATGGAGTCACTGAAGCAGTAGGCGTGAACTTAAATGTACTCCAGAAGATGGTAGATGACAGGAAGGCCTGGAGGAATGTTGTCCATGGTGTCGCGATGGGTTGGACATGACTTCGCAACTAACAACAATATTCAGCTTTGATTAGATGAAAATTCTATCACAAAGGTAACATTTGGGGTGTAAAATTATCAATGTTTAGACTAATCCATGTTCTGATCCCAAACCCTAACCAAAGTCAGTTGCAACTAAAACTGCAATCTTGCAATTACTTACCATGGAGAAAGTCTGCTAAATAGAACAGAGCATGAATAAATCCAAAGTATGAGATGATACTCTTACATATACTTACTTTGAGCAAATAATATTGAAAATAGTGGAACTTATTTTGAAACGTGAATGTGAAATTGGATTTTATATCTTGAGGAAATAACAATCAGAACACATTTGTTCTATTGATTTAAATGGGATGGAGTTAGACATAAACCTAGCTGGCCTCAGGCTGGTTTTAGTTTTGCCAGCAGTTGACTAAAAAGTAGTTGCTTTTAACTACATGTTATAAACTAGGAAGCAAAATGTTTGCTTAAATGTTTCCTATAAAAGGAAAGATAAATTTATATACAATTTGAAAAAAAGGCATCAGGCTAGAAAACAGGAAACTATGAGTTCAAGTCCTGCCTTAGCCATGAAGCCAGCTAGGTGACCTTCGGCCAATCACTGTCTCTCAGTCCAATCCACTTCATAGGGTTGTTGTTGTGGGGAAAATGTGTTTTTGATATGTTCACTGCCTTACTTATTTGTAAAAAATAATGCAAATGGGATAAAAATAAAAATAAATCAATAATAAATTAGATGAATAGATGTGTATGGGATTGCTTTGAAGACAAGTTTAACAGACAGGTTTATCTGAAAACAATGACAGTTATGCATATCCTCAGATGTGTAATATGAACAAATTAAAAATTTCTGGGCCAGGAGAGGGAGAATTTTCCTAATGGACTTGTATATAATGAAGTTTGATCTAATGCAGAGTAACAGAGCATTACACATTAAATAAAAAGATCAAGTGCAGGGCACTGAAAACTACCATACATTCTTTTCAGAAACTTTTCAGTGACAAGCATGTCTAAGAAAAGCTAAAACATTTAACAGGAAAAAATGCCATTAATGCTCACATCATGTATTCAGTTTTCAAAAGGATTTAATAAATTATGATGATTTGTTTATTTCATTGTATAAACTATAAATATATCATAGAGCCCTCATAATTTAAAATAATTTACAGGCTGAGGTAGGGGGTGGGGAGAAAGTGAGTATTGGAGCAATCAATGGTTTATCCAAAGTTCTCATTTTTTCTACTGATTACACACACACAGGCACTGTCAATCCGAATGAAGCGCCAGGATGCCTGATTGCCTTCCATGGTTAATGCCTTGACAAATGTGTTTGTTGTGGTGCAATACGAATTCCAATGCCTGGCATCAATGCCCCTGCACCCAGTTGGTACTGGGTTTGGATTTCTACACTTGGTCTCAAAAAAGTACTGCTTGTAGACATTGTTATTAATGTTTACATCCACCATCACAGTCACCAGATTGCCTCTGATGTCCGTTGCTGTGGTTTTGTTGGCAACCCAGACATTGACACTGTCACACACAGAATATTCCCCTCGTTTATGCACAGGATGATCTTCACGTTTGGCCCGGATATTCCTATTAAGAGAGTTTGCATTGTCCACACTTTGCTCATCTCTTGACAATGGTGGGGGCTGAGTGCTGAACAAAACACGAGGTGACTGGAACCGCCTCTTCTGAAAAAGCTTTGGATCCACAATGATATTTGCTGCTGACCCAAATTCTTGATCCTCTGCCTTTTTAGGAGCAGGATAGTGCTGATCTGTGTTTCGAGATGTTTTCAGAGCTTCATGAGTTTTAGCACAGCTGGTGTCAGAAAGGTCAGATGTTGCAGGGGACCCCAGAGGGACATTATCTTCAGATTTTGGTGCTGCCCATATGCCAATCAGAAATGCTATAATCAGAGTGTAGCACAGCATGGACATTACGCTATGCACCTAGGAGAGATCAGACCAAGAATGTTACTGTGAGCAAAGACAACATAGAAAAACATGCATTCCAAGAGGAGTGGAGAGATGTGCTAATGCAGCAATGCCAGGGAAAATGTACAGTTAAGACATTTCACCGTCTTACGAGAGGCCCAGCCATGTGGATACCAGATGCTGTTTTTTCTTTCCCACTGCGGAAAGGATCATTCAAATAGCAAGCCTGCTTAATAAAATGGGGACGCTAGGAGTTAATACGCCACCCAGAGTTGCTTAATCAGTGAGATGGATGGCATATAAACAAACAAATATACAAAATAATACCAGGGTTAATGTTAATTCCTGAAGTACTATAATATAACTTATTTCAAGCAGTTTCTGTATTTATTAATATGGAGAACAGATATTGACAAGAATCTCTATAAGGTTAAATTGGAAATTCTACAGTAAAAATATGTAAAAAAGAAAAGTAGCTCAATTATACTCTATATTTGCATCTAGATTTCCATGAGCCACATGTTCACAAAAAGAATCAGAAAGGACAGCACAAAGATATTGCTAAATTAGACATACGTAACTAAATAGGCTGTGGAAGAATAATTTGTTCTAAGCTGCGCTTACTTCAATTTCTCAAAAGCTTCTCGATACCAAGGTGTAAAATGCTACTTTTGCTACTGGAATAAAAGCTATTATGCAAGTCCTGACCTGATATTAGTTATAGAATTGTCAGTTTCCCCAGAGAACTATCAGTACAATGAACCATGGGACAAATCCAACACCCAGTTAAATCTGCTTAGATTCATTGACTTTAAGGGATTTAATCTTGTATTGGATTGTGGCCATAGTTTAAACTGAGTAAAAGTTCTGAAAACAGATTCTCTTTCTCTTGCACTGAGTAGACAAAAGCCTAAAACCTCTTAGCGAAGAATGATTCAGACTTTGTTGTTTATCTTTAGTTCTGCCATCCATTCTGAAATCCTTCAAGACAAAGGCCAGTCATTATTGTCGGAGCTCTTTGACAAACCATAGATCCTCTTGTTTCCTGCAGTTATACTTTGCTAAAGCCAATAATTTGTATCAAATTCAAAGTTCTTTTTTGCTAGGATGCTTCAGATAATTTATACTTTGAGGCATACCACAGATAATTTATATCTTCAGTAGTAGATTTAATAGATAATCAATACTCTTAATCTGAGGATACTCATCAATTACTCAGAGTGGTTGCTAAGGTAACAGATTGTATGCCAAGTATTTGCTAAAATCACAAGAAAGGAAAATTCCAAGAGGCAATGTAACTAAGTTTTGAGGTATAGTATTTCAGCTTGCAAAAATACAGCCAGCCAGAAGATGGCAGCAGCAGGTTTGAGTTTTATTTTGTAACGGCCATCTAATGTTTATTTTGATTTATGCAGCCCATATACCGTATCCCTATCCATCTTCACCATTCTGACTGCACTACAAAAGCTGGAGACAAACAGAGCTAGATGATTGTGCTGCAAGAGGAAATTACTTCTAAACCAAATGTGTTACAATCAATGCTTTTTTTGTAAAAAAAAAAAAAAAAAAAAAAAAGGAACCTACAAGATTCCAGCCAAAAAAGGTGCCAGAAGTCCGTTCTGGGCGTTCTATGACAAAAAAAGCCCTGGTTACAGTACAGCTCAGAGAGGCACCAGAAGCTTTAATTTCTCTGATTCACTTGGAGCACTGAGGCCATGGCAACAATTCAGAACATGTCAAATGAGTTTCTTGATGTCAACAGATATGCTAATTAAAAAAGTTTGTGCAACAAAATTTAAAGACAGTATAGGCACACCCTGAAATAGATCTACATCAGATGTGTTTACTGTAAGTCACTTGAGATTCATCACTCTGTACTAAAAAGGAAAAAGTGATTAGGTATGTGAATAAACGCTATTTGTATTTCTAACAGTGTGGAAGAAGGGGATGTTATGTTAACATAGCAACAATTAAAGATGAATTTTTGAGATTTTGGACATTAAAATCTTAATCAGAACTTTTGTTTAGAATTAGATTAGCAAGAAATTTAAAAAGAAATTATTAACAGCAAGGTGATAATGGAAAATATTGTCATTTACCTTTATATTTTCAAGCAGGGCTAGGTTCTGTAAAATACAAAATACGAGCTTTAAAAAAATAAGATTGGATAATTTGTTCAGAATCTGGAAAATAGTTTAGCTTCTCAGAAAGTAATTTTATAAATATTCACAAAGTCATTGTGTGCAGCTATATGCTCAAGCAAAAGTGCAAGCTTACTCAAAGAAGATTTTTACAATAGCTGAAACAGTAGTGCTTCTGATGCATTAATATGTAGAAAGTATAGTGTGGCAGATGTAAAGATATTTTGTTGTCCGCCACAGTATAGCAGTTTGCATCAACTTCAAAAAAGTTCTTAAACCCCAAGAAAGATCCAAGATCATTTATTTCACTCAATCTCTCCCCAATTTCCCCCCACTATTTTTACATAGTATAACCCAAATCAGACTCAGTATTAAAATACACTATTAAAAATAATTACTAGTTTGGTAGTAATGCATTAATCCATGCTGAGAATTCAGGGGCACAGATATAATTTATGAATCAGCCTGCCAAACTCTTTTAACATTCTTAGATTTGCTATCAACTTCTAAAAAAACCCAGTTTCTATTAGAGAAATTTTCACAAAGTAAAAACCATAAGAGAAAATAACAAAGAATGGTAAAAAGTGAAAAAATATATATATAAAAAGAAAAAGGAAGAAAAGGACAAGAAAGATTGTAAAGAAGTGGTTTCCAGACTTCTTGTCAGAGGTTATAGATCATTTTTATTGTGTCGTCTGGTTCTAAGGTTACTTCATAATTTCCTTCTTTTCATAAGTTACCCTTTCTAATCTTCAAACCTGTAAATCACAAGTTCATTTTTCTCTTTTTTCAACAAAAAGTCCATAGGGGTTTCCGGTCACTAATAATTATTGATCATTCTCTAATCAAACAAGTTAAATTTGTAATTGCTGCTAATTCTGTCATCTTCACCAACCATCTCTCCATTCAGACTTGCAGCACTAACCATATATAAAAATAATCTTTATTGGCTCTTTTCTAACTGGCTATCCATTAACCCCAGCAAGAAAAGTTACAGTTTTAATTGAATGTTCTTGTTTTTTAAAATTCTTTGTATTACTCTATGTATTTCAACCCAAAATTTCTGGGTTTTTGTTTTTACAAGTCCAGCAGGCTGTCCACATTTCCAACGTAAATTTGAAGTATCTTCATACATTCTAGACAATTTTTCTGGATTCTTATACCAATGGTACATCATTTAATGAAAAATTTCTTTTAGTTTATAAAATAAATTTTAATCTAATCACATATTTTCTGACTATTTCATCAGTATATTTTGTCTAAAGTTCTCAGCCCATTTTATCATACTCTTTCACGTATTCTTTCATTTCAAATTTTAATAAACATGTAAATTTTAGCAATTATATGTTCATCATTTGTACATAGTTAGGTTCAAATTTTGTCTCCTGCTGCTCAATTTCAAATGTCCTTAAAAATATTTTTCTTAGCTATATATATGAAACTATTGAAAACTAAATCCCTCTGCAGTCAATTCCTTTTTTGATTTCATCTTATACTTTCCATGTTCCTTTTCTAACAACTCTTGATAAGCTAATCTTTTCTTTTTATGTATTGTTTTTTACTCTAGAATCTTCTATTGCTAAAATCCATAAATACATTTTTGATCAAAGGCTGGGTTTATATCTATTCCATATTGTCAATATGGCACTTCTAATATATATAATGACTATTAAAGTTTACATTAATCTTAATTTTATTGTACCATAGAAAACTATAAACCTTAGATCATGCCTTTCTAATTTTAAAATCCTTATTCCTCAGAAGAATCCACTTTCATCCAGATTAAGCATCAGATTGCAACTATCAATCAAATATTAAAATCATTTAATGATATACATATCTATATGTTAATCAAATGACTCTTTTGTATTAATTATAATTAAATAATATAAATGGAGCCCTCATAATACAAACTTACCAGTATAATTGATATGTTTTGATTATTTTGAGCAGACAAAAGAAGACAATAGTTATTTCATATAGATAAATCTAGAGGAAATCAAACTGTGTTTTAAAAAGAACCATTAGCACTTTGCAACTCAAATGATATGCTAAGAAAAGATTAAATACAAAACAAAACAAAACTTTCCATACTGCTAAAGGCAATGTACCAAAAAATGTAACATATTCTTTTGCTAGTAGCATTGTGTCAAATAACTGACTGGGATTTCGGAGGCATAACACACTTCTTAGTCTATGGTAAAACTAATGGCTCTAGGGTTATGTAATATTGATTTATTAAAAGAAAAGAATTTGAATTTTTATAGATTCAGGAGTCTTCAATCAATTATGGCTTTATGTTTGCTTTTTCAAAAGTAACACTAAATCCACAGGAGCTTATTTAAAAAAACAAAGGAACATGTCAAGCATCAGTTTTTAAGATTAGTTATTAACTCCCAGTAAGCTTTTTTAAAAGTATAAAAAAATCATATACATGCCTCCAAATTAAAGAAAGATAAAGTTAATTAGAGGTGGCAATATTCAGGCAATAATTATGCCACAAGTAGAAATTAGAAAATGTTCACAAAGTGTGCTACAGGAAAGTCTTGTGAAAGTCTTTGGTGGAATCTGCTACATAAAAGAATTAAACATTTCGAAAACATCCAAAGAACAATCTTTGTCACTATTTATTAACTTGTATGTATCCCCTGTTCCTCAAAGAGTTCAAGATGGGACAGAAATAATAATTGAATTTAAGTCACCTGCTGAATTCCATATCAAGTGGGAACTTTAGCCAGAATCTTTCTGGTCTCATATCATCATTTTAATAAAAATTCTCCAAAAGTAAGATGTTGGTATTGGAGACAAGCAAGCTTAAAATGCAGCAGTTTTGAAATATATAATCAAACCACACTCTCTACTTTCTCAAGAGAGAAAGTAGTCATAGTGCTGTTTCTTAGCTACAATCCCTACTTTGTCAGGAATTAATAAAAATTGCCTAGTTTTGTGGAGCAATCGAGAAATTTGCTAGATTGCTCAGCTTCCTGCTTACCACTGATCTCAACTGATACCTCTGAAGCAGTCAAGGATATCCTCAGGTTCTCTCTTCATCTCTAAGGCTGGAAAGCAAGAGGCAAGCCCTTTCTAAAGGGAGGAAAAATAGGTACCTCCTCTATCAAAAAACTGTGGGAAGGAACAGAGATTTGTAAAGCACAGAGTATCTGTCAGGTGCTGAGAAATGGTCTCCTATCTTGACCTGCAAGAGGAGAATGACCAACCCATGCCCCTATAGACAACTATGTTACATTGGTCAGTATCTACAACCTGTTTTCAAGAAGTAGCCTGCACCATTCAGTTTCACACATATTATTGAATTTAAAGGAGTGAACTACACCAGATATGTCTGTAGGACACACAACCACTTACACACACACACACACACACACACACACACACACACACACACCTTGTACATTTCAAACAAAAAAACAAACATTTGCATCTATTCACAGTCCTCATTAATGTCAAAGGTTTTCCTAAATAAATTCAAATTGGATGACTTGGATGTTCTCCTTAGACAAGGATTAAGTATAGATCCTTTATGGCTCCCTTTGTCTTGTGCTTTTCTGGTCACCTTGTGAGTCACCTTATTATTATAGTCTATAGGCATAACACGGTGATTAGCTGTGGGTCTGAGGCTGTCACAGTACATCGAATAGATTCTATACTGGGCCCTCTAATAACAAAGATTACTATTAAAAACCCAGATTGCAAATATTTTGCAGCAGAAGGGAAGCTTATTAGCTAATGCATTTTTCTATGATCCTTTCCCCTTTTCTAATTCCTTATACTTCACTTTTCTATGTATCCCATGTCTTCTTGCTTTCCATCATTGATTTTCTTCTTTTTCCTTTCCCCTCTATTGTCCCATGAGCTTCTTTGTGCCTGTTTCCTCCTGTGTTGACTTCTTGAGTCCACCGAAATAGGCTCTCCGTATCACTCCACACAGCTTTTTAAATCTCAGCAAGAGATGCTCTAGCCCAGTGGTTCTCAACCTGAGGGTCGGGACCCCATTTGGGGTTGAACGACCATTTCACGGGGGTCGCCAAACAACGCAGTCCGCCATTTTTCCCCCTTTTCCTTAGCTGTGCTACTCCCTTTTATTCTATTGGCTTTTGAAAGCCAATAGAATAGACTCTCTTGAATAGAGTCTAATTCTATTGGCTTTCAAAAGCCAATAGGAATTGTCCAGGCTGTCTCTGCCCTGCTGAGCCCGCCAAAAGTCCCATTCTGCAAACGGTGCTGCAAGTTGTCTGCAGCGAAGGCGAGCTGTCTGGAAGTTTCCACCCCTCCCTGCTGAGCAACTACTAAAAATGTAAGTAAAAGAGGGCCAGGGGTGGGAGGTGGGAGGTCGGCGGGCGCAGGGAGGGTTGCTGGCGCACGTGGGGCCCGGTGGGTGCCTTACCTCTGGTGGTTGGCCTGCGCCATCTCTGCTGCTTGCCAGCTATGCCTCAGCTGGCGCAGGGGGTGGCACCACGCATGCGCGGCACTCCTGCGCAGGGAAAGTCCTCGACTTATGACCGGTTGGGGGTCGCGGCATTAAAAAGGTTAAGAATCACTGCTCTAGCCGACAGAAAATCAAATAATTATCTGATCTGCTTTCTTGTCTGTAAACAATACTGATAACAATATTTATTTTCTTTAGATTTAGGCTCCTTGTACCATTTGAACATTTTTAAACATGCTGTTTGAGAACAGATGATAGTTCTTAGTTTAACACCCCCAACAATCACCACCAAATCTTCCAAAATCTTTCTAAATTTCTAATTCTCATTTTCTACTTAACACTAGCTTCAGAAAATAAAGACTGCATGTTTTGTTCTTTCTTTGCTCTGATCTCTGCATTAATACATTCCATAACTGGGAGGAGAGAGGGAAACTAAGCCATGATTCCCAAATGTCTTGGTCTATTCCAGAAGAATTCAATTATTGAGAGCAATCTTCAAATCAAAAGGTATTTGGCCATTCTGCATGGGCCTTTGAAA